TGGAGAGGATGTAGGGATTAGAAATAAACTCCATTTTTTTTAATCTAAAACCGAAATCTCAAAAAAACTGCACAAAATTGCTCGTGTTGGTGGTGGTTGTAGCCCAGGAACCCATTGTGTGTGTGTGTTCCCACCACTTCCCACTTCCAGCTCGTGTCCTGGAATTCTGAGTAACCCTGTCCTTGTCTGGGCGTGAAGGAGGTTCCAGCAGTGTGATCCTGGTCCCTGAGCTGTATCCCACAGGAATGTGCCTGCCTGGCCCTCGCTGGCCCGGGGTGGGATGGCTGGTGATCCATGTGGGATGGTTGGTGATCCAGAGGAGGATGGCTGGTGATCCAGGTGGGATGGCTGGTGATCCAGAGGGAATGGCTGGTGATCCAGAGGGGGATGACTGGTGATCCAGGTGGGATGGTTGGTGATCCAGAGGAAGACGGCTGGTGATCCATGTGGGATGGCTGGTGATCCAGGTGGGATGGTTGGTGATCCAGGTGGGATGGTTGGTGATCCAGGTAGGAATGGCTGGTGATCCAAGTGGGATGGTTGGTGATCCAGAGGAGGATAGCTGGTGATCCAGGTGGGATGGCTGGTGATCCAGGTGAGATGGCTGGTGATCCAGAGGAGGATAGCTGGTGATCCAGGTGGGATGGCTGATGACCCAGGTGGGATGGCTGATGATCCAGGTGGGATGGTTGGTGATCCAGGTGGGATGGCTGGTGATCCAGAGGAGGATGGCTGGTGATCCAGAGGGAGATGGCTGGTGATCCAGGTGGGATGGCTGGTGATCCAGATAGGATGGCTGGTGATCCAGAGGAGGATGGCTGGTGATCCAGAGGAGGATGGCTGGTGATCCAGAGGGAGATGGTTGGTGATCCAGAGGGAATGGTTGGTGATCCAGGTGAGATGGTTGGTGATCCAGAGGGGGATGACTGGTGATCCAGGTGGGATGGCTGGTGATCCAGGGTGGGATGGCTGGTGATCCAGGTGGGATGGCTGGTGATCCAGGTGGGATGGCTGGTGATCCAGAGGAGGATGGCTGGTGATCCAGGTGGGGATGGTTGGTGATCCAGAGGGATGGCTGGTGATCCAGGTGGGATGGCTGGTGATCCAGGTGGGATGGCTGGTGATCCAGAGGAGGATGGTTGGTGATCCTGGTGGGATGGCTGGTGATCCAGAGGGGGATGGCTGTTGATCCAGAGGAGGATGGCTGGTGATCCAGGTGGGATGGCTGGTGATCCAGGGTGGGATGGCTGGTGATCCAGGGTGGGATGGCTAGTGATCCAGGGTGGGATGGTTGGTGATCCAGGTGGGATGGCTGGTGATCCAGAGGGATGGCTGGTGATCCAGGTGGGATGGCTGGTGATCCAGGTGGGATGGCTGGTGATCCAGGTGGGATGGCTGGTGACCCCAGCCATGGAGGTGGCCCCAGGCTGGCACTGGCCAGTGCAGGCTGGTGGGTGGTGGCTCGGGAGTTTTACACCTCTGTCAGTGCCTTAGTTCCATTTCATGGATCAACACTTTGCTTGGGCTACTCTTCTTCTGTTGAGACAATAAATTCTCTTAGGCCCGACCTTGGGTTTAACAGGCTGGGGGAACAACTCTGCAGGTGTGCAGAGGGCACTGATGGGGAGGGAATCGTTGGGATAATGGGCTTGGTGTAATAAGCACTGCAAGTCCCCCCTCCCCGGAGTAGGGATAAAGCCTTGGAAGCTGCAGCTGGTTGTGGGATGATGTGTTTTGGAAGGGGAGGTCCTGCAGCCTGTGTAGTTGCTGGCACGGGATCAGCCTGTCCCACTGCTGAGGCTCCTTCCTGCAGGACAACAAACCCACCTTCACACTGGATTTATAAACAAAGGGATGTCGTAATATAGGTTAAACCATTAGATTTGGGTTCCCAAGGAATTCATCCAGCAGCACTGCAGGGAATGCTGGCATCCCAAATCCAAAAGAAATGATTCTAAAGCCTGATGTTGGAGTGGTTTTGGCGGGGAAAGGAACCTCGGTGAGGAAGGAGGTTCAGGTTTCAGTGTCCCTGTCCAGGAAGCAGAACTGGAATTACAGCCTGACCAACACTTCTCCTCCCAACCCCAGACCCCACGGACGGGTTGTGGCACTGGAAGTGCCAGTGCAGCTCCGGGAGTTCAGGTTTTGAGCCAGGTGGGCGTCAGGGGAAGGAATTTGGTGTGGAATGTCACTGTCCCTCCTTAAATCCACAGGAAAGAAGAGGTTCTGAGCAGTTGCACTGGTTGGGGAGCTGTGTCTTTGTTCTGGTTGTACGAAAGAGCTGCTGGGGCAGCAATTCCAGGTCGGGTCGTTGCAGCCCCAGGGATCCTCAGGTCCTCACCCCCGGGGGGGTGTTGCTGCTCCAGAGGCAGCTCCAGGGGCAGCAAAGCCCATCCTGGGGCAGGAGGGTGGATTGGAAGCGGGTTTGGGGCTCCTCTCCTCTGGGGAAGCTCAGTCTGAGGGTTCGGGTGAAGCTGGGAGGGTTTGGAGAACAGGACTGGGATGGGGTTTCCCTCTGCAGGGACTCAGGTTTGGCTCAGGAATGGCCTCACCGGGGAAGGATCCCTTGGAGAGGGGGATCAGGCTCAGCTGGGCCCCGGGGTCAGCGTTGGAGGGGGCTCAGCTCTGAACTCTGGGATCCCCCAGCGGGAATGTGGGTGGCTCTGGGAACGTGGGAGGGGCTGGGGTGGCACTTGCACCCTGAATTATCACTTTGATTAGCACAGATTAATTGTGGGGCGGGACACACACCCCGTTCCCAGGCTGCCCAGGGGTGTTCCAGGTGTCTGACGGGGACAGAGCGTGTGCTGGGAGGGAGAGATCCCGAATTCCCCCTTGTTCCCCGGGTTGTTTTTAATGCTATATGTTTGCTATAACTGCAGAGCGAGTTTAAGAGCTTACAGTAATATATTTTAAGTAATATATATTTTAGTATCTGTAAAAAAGCGTGGGCAGAGGACGATTTGTGAGGTGGGTAACAGGGTACAGGAGGGAGCAGCTCCTCGGCGAGGCCAAGGGGGGGGTTTCTTGCAGGAAAACTGAAAAGGTTCAGTTTTTTGCCGTTAATGCAATAAAAATGGGAATTCTCACAAAGAAGCAATCCA